CTCCTCCTCCTCCTCCTCCTCCTCCTCCTCCTCCTCCTCCTTCCTTCTCCTCCTCCTGCCACCAGGTTTCTTTGGCTGTCTGTCACATCTTGCTGCTAACTTTTCCATGTTAGAGCCACACAGTTTGAACATGTTTGGATCTGAAATACTCCAACATCAGATGTTGCCATTTTAGGTGAAGAATGTTCAACCCATAAAGTCAATACAAATATTCCAAAAATATGAAAACCTCACAAATCTTTAACACTCTGGTCCCAAGCATTTTAGATAAGACATACTAAATCTAGACTTTGCCTGCCAGCTTAGCTAGTGCCCTCTGACCTCCTATCTCAAGAGAACAGAATCCTGTATGGGTCAAGCCTGCAGGTTAGAGACAGCCAATGCTTTTGCTATCTGGCTCAGGAGGGGAGCTTCCAGTGGTGCTGCAGGGAGCATTACTCTAGAACTCTCCAGCTCACAACCTAGACATATCATTAGTCTCCCTAGTTGAAGGCCAAGGTAAGAGAGAATGTGATTTTCACTTGTCTTTTTTAAAATTTCATTTTTATTCTTTTATTTCTGAGATAATTTAATTACATCATTTCCTCATTCCCTTTTCTTCCTCCAAATCCTCCCATATACTGTTTCTTGTTCTCTCAAATTCATGGACTCTTTTTTTCATTAACTGTTGTTATATGCGTATGTTCTCTCTCTCTCTCTCTCTCTCTCTCTCTCTCTCTCTCTCTCTATATATATATATATATATATATATATATATATATTCCTAAATATAATGTGCTCTATCTGCATAATGTTACTTGTATGTATGTTTTCAGGACTCATCACTTAGCATTGGATATCCTGTTGCTGTGCTCTTCCCTGTGGAAGACTTTCTCCCATTCCCAGCATTCCTTAGTTGTGTGTAATTCTTTGGTAGGGTTGAGGCTTGTGGCATTTCCCTCATTCACTTTGGCATGCCTATTGGTTGTTGTACATATTCAGCTCATGTTTAGGCAGTCATGTTGGTGAGACTCTATGGGTGTACCTTCTGGGGTTACTAGGAGACACAGTCTCACAGCCCTTAGAATCTTTCAGCCCACTTTTCTGCAATGTTCCCTGAGCCTTATGTGTGGGAGTTGTCTCTGTTTGGATTGGGATCCAAATTTTGTGTTTTCGTTGGTCATGGTTTCCTGTAGTAGTAGCCATTCATTGCAAAGCTAAGCACAACACACTTAAAGAGGCCCAAAATAGTCTATATTATGTACTACTACCTATATGGGAAACAATACTTTCAGTATTTGTGAGTATTTCTGTTCTTTGGGGTAATCCTAGTCTTAGAAAAAAATCCAATAGCTTTTGTGATTTTTAAACCTATTTCAAAAATTTAAAAGTAGCTAATTTAGTTCACCCATCTATTTTTGGTCTTTCTTCACTGAAGAATTAATTGTGCTTTGGAAGATTTGACCCTTTGCAAGGATTCATGTTCATAGGGAAGTCAATTGGCATTTTAGTGTAACTTTTAAAGACACAAATGAAAAACAAGCAGTGTGTACTGTGAGATTACTGTGAGATTATTGTTAACTGGGAGATCACCAAACATTGCCTTTTGTATTGATAGATGATTCTCCACATATATACACTATTCTGTCCCATTTCTTTGCAGCATATCTCTAAGGAGCCAAATCTTTTTCTTTTTTTTTCCGTTTTTAAAATTATATGTTGATTACACACACACACACACACACACACACACACACATACACACACACACACCATCACACTGTAGCTGTCTTCAGACATACCAGAAGAGAGTATTGGATCCCATTGCAGATAGTTGTGAGTCACTATTTGTTTGCTGGAAGTTGAACTCAGAACCTCTGGAAGAGCAGCAGTAAGTGTTCTTAACTGCTGAGCCATCTCTCCAGTCTCCAAATCTTTTTGTTTCTGAAAAGCTTATATGCTTTCCTAATGGGTTGTAGTTGGAATGCTATTAGCTTTTGCATGGTACATGTTTGTGTCAACTAAACTTAGCATTATCTTAGTTACAACTTAAGAATGAACTCTGACCCCTTTAGTAACTACAGAGGTGGTCAGAAGAGATATTTTCACCTTTATATTTTATACTTTTTACCCAAGCCTAATTATGTCACTTCTTATAATATTTGATTTTATATGGACAGACCAAAAGTGCTGGTTTTGTTTTGAAGGAAACTTCCCTAGTTGTGGCTTTGTTTTCAAAAGCACTCGGGGAAGGATATGTTTTATTTTCCAAAGTGCTGACTTTTACATTTGTTCCTTGAAAGAATTCTTCCCTTGCTGTCCTTTTCTTCCGAGTCAGTGTCTGGTACTTAAGGTTTATCAGGCCAACATCTGTAACGATGAAAAGGAGGCTGCTGATTAGAGGAGAAAAGTCAAGCAGGTTTAAGACTCATTTTCTTTGGAAAAAATATTGAGGGCAATTTGCAGCTGGCAAGGTTTTCACATTAGGTAATAGTCTAAAGTTAACAGAAGCATCAGGCCTTTAAAATTTTTCTGTTTTGTATTTCTGGAGGAGGGCAATGGGAGTGCCTTGCTGAGGCCTTCCTTGTGCTCATCAGCATAGCAGCCTCAGCTGCCCCCCTTGGATCCCCTGCCAGGGCTGCTATCATCTTCTGATCAAATATTAATGTGTGATCCTCTGCTTGCTCACTAATCCAAAGCCAATTAATATTATCTGTCAATTATTTACAGATCCTGAGGTGCAGAGGCAATTCCCGGAGGACTACAGTGACCAGGTTTGGAATGCGTAATTAATTTTTTACATGACAAAATTTATTTCAGAGTTGTTCAACATATTATTACTGTTCTTTTTAACTGAAAGAGATAAATGAAGTTTTAGAAAGGAATAGAATGGTAATTAGGAACCAAAGACAAAAAGTAAAGCACAGTGAAGTGGGATTGAAAATATTAATGCTAGATTTGGGCTCTTTCCTTCAGAGGGCTATGTGTACAACTAAGCAAAAGATATCGTATGTTAGGTGTGTTGCTGCCTATGAGTTAGTAGGAAATTCTTTCAGAAATGCCTGTAAACTGAAGTGTTTTTTGTTTTTGTTTTTAAATATACTATTTGAGTAGTCAAGCAGTCTGACCGAAAAAGGAGGGAGGTTTAAAATGATTTGGAATAGAGATGACATTGTCTGTTGTCATCCTGGAATAAGAAGGTATTTTTAGGGAGAAAGTAGTGTTGCCCATGAGAGGGAGTGTTGATGCTATCCAAGGTGGTTCCTTCACTTTTCAAAGTTCCAGCACTTTGCAAACAACAACAGTGCTGACAGTCTCATGTCTCTTTTCTTTTTATAGCTGGTTCCAGGTTATACATTGATTCTCCATTTTCTACCCCAAGGAATACTGTAGGCACTTTGTAGCTTTATTTGGCTCATTGCATTTTTAGTTCAAATTTGCAATTTGACATACTTTTTAAATATTAAAAAAGCATCATTAACAACAGTGCTATCACACTTTATCTTTGACAACTTTATCAGAGCTTTCACACAAGTACAATATTGTACACAAAGCTTGTTCCTGATGCATTCATTCAAGGTTTTCTGTTACAAGTCCTTGAGTGAGGTAAAGATCCTGGGAAAGAACCATTCAGGGCAGTGGTAGCATCTTTGTATTGTGGCCTGTCATAGAGAGAGCAAGGTGTCTTATGGTCTTTTTGAAAACAGGGGTGACAGTGTGACCAGGCATGTTAGCTATTCAGTGGCATGTTTTATAATCAGGCTTTGTGAGATAAGCATCTAGGAGAGCTGACCTACGTTACTCTGTGTCTGACCTCAAGATTAAAATACGATTTAAGAATAAATTAAAATCTTACCTCACCTCTCCTTCATCTTCTACTAGTATAGCTAAATTTTTAATTGTGCTTTAAGTTGCTTTGAGATTAAGTCCTTTCAGTTAAATAATACAATCCAAAGATTATAGAACTTTAATAAAATTATTGAACATCTTCCTTTAAGTAATTATCTATAGGATGAAAAACTATTGTTTGTAATTCACTGATGGTCGTAGCTCTTAAGGAAATGATTGTTCTTAAGATTAATTAATGATTAATGATTGTTTTTAAATAGGTAAGTAACCTTTATGACTCCTGATGTGCATTATCCAGGGAGAGACTGTTCTGTAGGAAAAAGCTTAGAACAACATGGTTACCATCTTGGTCTAGTCCTTTAAAGAGTTCCTTACTGTTTCTGAAAGAAGTTGAATGACATAATTTTTTTTAAAGTATATAACTTTAGAAATTGCATAGGTATTACGTTTGTAACAAAATTCTAGAAAGTAGAGGTCAAGCCAAAGTAAAGCTTAAGAAGCATAAAGAAAATATAAACCATTCCAGTATTTTACTACTCAGAAGAAACTACTGGAACAATCAGGAGTTTTAGCATCTGTGTTCATTTCTTCTGAGTACATGTGTGTATCATGTGTTTGAAGAGGGTATCTGAGTATAGGTGCTATATATGCATATGAGTATCCACAGAGAAATCTAGACTGTTTTCTGCACTGTCATTGCATGTGGAGTCCAGCTGACTAATATAATATTAACTGTGTAGTAAATTTAGTCCTTAATCCTTGTCAATAGATGGCCTTACACACACTTCCTGTATGATTAAAATTATAATAAGCATTTATGAGTAGTAGCTGTGGTTATCTTTAAAGGTGCTCATAGTATAGAGGTGTCTGACTCCTTTGTTTGGAGGAGTGACACAGTGTTGGATCTGAGACCCAGACCTGTGGGTTGAGGGAAACCTACAAGAATGTGCACAACATAGTCTTGTTTAGCATCTTCTCAAACTTTTAAGATGTATACTTTTCCTTCTTGACTCAAAACAACTCAGGAAATGAGACATTTCTATTTGTTTTTTTGAAGATATTATTTTCAATTTCCTAAAAATGTACTTGGAGAATCATATCTACTATGAAAGAGAATGAGGAATGCTTATTTTTATTTGCCTTTAAAAATCATTATATTTTAAATTCATAGGCTTTGTTCATATCACTTGTTTGAGTAAACCAAATTATGTCTCTCCTGTATACTATTCAGGTTATCTGTCTCTCCCATATACCATTATAAAAGATTCTTGGAAATATTTGCATTATGTGTAAGCTTTAACTACAGCATTTCAGATATTAAAACATTTATGTTGTAGTCCTTAAGGAATATTTAAGATAATTCTCCATCCAATATAGTGCTTATTACTGTGTGGGTGGGTGTGAACACTCTGGTTCCCTCCTCCCCATACCCTCTCTCTTCAGTTTTCTCTCCTCATTCGCCTAAACTACCATAGCTTGTTTTTACATATAGTGTATTTTCCATGTTCCCTCACACTTGATCAGAGACGCTGGCTGATGCTAGATGTTTTATTCTGTGTGTTCTTTGTACCTTACAGTAAAAGAATCTGTCACAAATTATTGTGCCTCACTGCTTTAGAAACTGAGAAAAAAGGGAGGTTAGATTGACATCTGTGACTGAATAATGATGACCAGCCTTTTGGCTCTCCTTGAGCCACAAAGCTAGCACTGCCTTTAGAGTGGAAAAAGAAGTAAGAAGAAAGGGGAGGGATAAAAGAGAGTTACAAATCTGTGGTCTCAGAGATGTATTACTGTTGGGCCAGTTGTCTGCATGGTATGATAATCCATTTTGATCTTCTCTGTCTTAATTGTCTGCTAAAGACAAATGGGCAGTAAAAGTTCATCAGTTTCATCTTTTTGCTTCTCGTTTAGAAGCAGAATAAATGATCCATCACTATAGAAGAAGCCTTTCTTTCTGTCACGGAAGTAATGCAGACCCAACACGTTTTATTAAAATGTTTTCCCCTCATTATTTCGGTCCTCTCAGCTCTGATAGATCTTACTGTTTCATAAAAAATGTAATCTGAAATGTAAATAAGGGTCTTGATACAGAAAGAAGAAGTAATGAGCAGCCTGCGCCACGTTTTAGGGCTCTTGATTGTAATTACTGACAAAGTGATTTCTCTGGGCTCCATTTTTTTCCTCCTTTAACTTGTCTGTGACACAGTCAGACCACAATGACATCTATGGTTTAAAACCATTAAATCACTGTAGCACTCAATATTTCACTAAAAGTCTAGTAAGCCTGCTATTTTTAGGCCTAAAAATAGAGGCTTTGTTAATTCCTGGAAGATGTACAGTGCCTATATTTTTTAAAAGAGCAAAACAAACAACAAAAATCGGGATAAACAAGGGCTTTTCAGAGTTCATGTTACTTACTCATCTGCTTTTGTTAAACCTTAATAGTTTAAATACTAAACTGTCAACAGTGGTTGGGCTCTGACTTGAAAAGTATCTTGTACTTTTGAAAAAAAAATCCTTCCAACAGCTTATTGTGAGATGAAAAAATTATCTCTCTCATAAACATATAATAAAATAGGCAATTTTTAAAGAGTTAAGGTTATGAAATTGAGGATGGATTTGAGCTTACTTTGGGCAATTGGGAAAGTCTATTCTTTTCAGCCTCCAACAATAAGCAGAGTAATGCAGCCCTCTCAGAGATAACATGCCAGTCAGACACAGGAATAACAAAAGCCAGGAGTAATTTTGAATCATGAATAAAACTATAGTTCTGTAGTCAACCAGGTGCATTTTTTTTACTTTTGTCATTTTGTTTACTCTGTTTATTTCTAATTATGAAAAGAATTGGTAAAACTTTATTTCATTAGAACCATTTTAATGAATACTAATTGAATTAAGGGTAAAACAATAGTTAAATTTACATGTTTGCAAATGGTTGCTAGTTTCCTCAAATGCCCATTATTGGCTTCAAAACAGTACATATTTTTTCAGAGTAAAAATTGATAATAGTTATTGATGCATGGCATAAAATATTATGAAATAAAGATGTAATAAGCTATCTGATACTTCCATAAGTAGTATTGTACTATATCAAGTGAAACAGGCATTACATATGATTTTAAAGCTTACTAGTCACAATATTTCTTATCATAAAATATATACAATTATTTTGTTCTCACAATTTTGCACTTTTTATAGCCCATTTGTTCTAACAGTGATGATTAGATTTGAGGATGCTACAAGTTTTTTTTCACCAAGTGCACATATAAATTTTGAAATAGCATCAGAGTGTCCTGAAAGAGGGGTCTGTGCACATCTCCCCCCCCCCCGACCCCCCATATCTATGGATTGGTAATCGAGTCACAGGTAATTTTTCTTTCCACTGGTACCGAAACACAGGTTATAATGAAACCAGTAATTTTTATGCATTTATAGAAACTATAAAAAATTTATGGAAATCTTTATATAGAAACTAACAGTGTTTCTTGTACAACTTGTGTAAGCAATGTAGAAACATGGTGCATTGGGAAAAATAAAAAGGTGCTCTTTCTTTTGTGGTTTCACATGGTCTAAGTGATTTCAAAATTTCACAGTCGACAAGCAAATTAAAAAAATCAATACTAAAAACTACAAATATGTTTCATAATTTGGGCTAATTGTGATGGAAATTGTGATTTTTAAAGTAGCATGTAATTGCTTAAATATGGATTTTCATGTTTGTTTTGTAGATATGCTCTATAGAAAACATTTCCTAAGTTTCTAATTATCCACAGATAACCTTGGTAAATTGATTAAAAGATTCTGATTAGAGAGATAGTAGTGAAGAGTTTAAATGAGCATTTCTACTTGCCTAATAATGATTGCTTCATTGTTTTGATGAGGTCCACATATGAAAAGTTTCTTGTTACTTTGTTTCAAATATTTA